GAGATTTTAATTGACGAAAGTCGAAACTAGGTTTCGACTTTCGTCAGCGCGAAACCTCGAGGTTTCGTCTAACAACTTATAAAGAGCTATTATAAATTAGTCTTGTGAACATAATGCGTAAATCAAGTTTTGTCTTAATTAAACGGAAATTCCAGTATCTTACAATAGATTTTGTGCTAGCGGTAGTATATTACAAATGATTTATTGGCTTTGCTCAGAAAATATATTTCCCAATACCAGTATGCAATAATCCCGGTTAACAGGCGTATCTACGAGTTACCTAAATGATCCTTAACCGGGCTTAATCTCTGAGAGACACAATAAGAGAAAATTTTCGCACCCAACCGAAAATCGCATTTATCTCAAAATTTGGTCTAGTAAACCATCTTTAAAGTCCTAACAAAGATAAACGAATCATTTGTTTTCCGAGTACTACGTGATAATATAATCGATTTCGCCTGCGATACTAAATCCAGACAATATGTGATGGTATGCAGTGAAAATTGGCATTAGTTTGTTAATCTAGAAAATGGTTAATTTTCTCTCTTTTATTAAAAAATATACAAATATTGTAAATTCTGAAAAAAGACGTTACGTCGGAGTATCGTTTAACAACAATTAAGTTATAGATTTATTATGTGAATAATTTACAAAATATTGGAAACAATTAATCTGATTCTATTAACAATTGTTATTACACTTTATATTTATGCATCTCCAAATTCTTTATTAAATTCTCTATAAGATAGAAGAAATCAAATCAAAATTTGAACGAATGAATCCATGTATTTTCTAAAGAGTTTAATGTACAAACCTTCCAATTAACAACCGTCGAATTTCGCTTGTTCCTGCACCAATTTCGTATAATTTAGCATCACGAAGAATGCGCCCTGTATCAAAATCATTTATGTAACCGTTCCCCCCAAGACATTGGATTGCATCTAATGCAACTTCAGTGGCTCGCTCGGCTGAATACAATATCACCGCTGCGCAATCCTTTGTTAAAACAAAATAGATAATAAATAAATAAACATTATCTAATTGCAAAAATAATCCAATTAATGAAATAAAAAAAAAATTATACTTTATTTGAAGTATGGCCTCGATCACAAGCTCTGGCAACGGAGTAGACATATGATCTAGACGCATTGAGTTTAGTATAAATGTCCGCTAACTTCGCTTGAATTAGTTGAAATTGCGCAATCGGTTTACCAAATTGTTGGCGAGTTTGTACATAAGGGACAACAATGTCAAGAGCTGCTTGCATAAGCCTAATTTATATTATTTGGTTATATTTAAATTTAATGTGGCTTAATAAGCAATTTAATAAAAAGAGATTTATCAATTAAGCAAATTAGCACAAATAAGAAATTAATAATAAACAAATTATTTTACATATTTCAGTAGTTTGATTAAAAAATAATCATTATCTATTGGCTAAATTGACTTGAATAAAAGTGCAGATAATAAATTAATAAGAGGTGTATACATTGTTTATTATAAATAAAAACTTAATAAAAAGAAATCCGTATTATTTCACCGACAATTACTTCATAAACACCACATTTCATGACAATTATTCATCGACAAGTTCATTTTACCGACAGTCTATTTTACTGAAGCTCTTTTATTAACAGGACGGACTTTTTGAAATGAGCTTCAGTGAAATAGGCTGTCAGTAAAATGAGCTTGTTAGTGGTGAAATGCAGTGTCTATAAGGTGATTGTCAGTGAATTGATTGGATCTCAATAAAAAGTGGCCTATCAGGAAGTTAACAAGAAACATGAATTATAATCTGTTATTGGCTATCAATTTTCTAAAAATTACAGAGCAGCAAAAACATTCTTACTGTTTTATATTTTAGATTATACATATAAATTAAAAATTTAAACCATTTTAATTGAATAAAAAAAAAAAAATTTATAAATTAAAAAAAAAAGAAAAATACCAGAATATTTATATAATTTAAAACTAAATATGTAAGCCAATAAACAGCTTCAGCATTAAATATAAATAAAAAAGAAAGCCTCAATAATAAATAATTGTTTTTTGGTTAAATATATAAATTTATGGAGTTAATGGCTTTGCTAAAAATTGACTTTTATTAAATTTTTTAGCGAGAGCACCAGAATTTGTTGAGTTTCGGTAATAACAGATTTTTTTTAGTAGTTTTACTTTTTTTTTTTAGCGGAAATACTAGTGTTCGTCAAGTTAAGTTTGAGGTTTCGACTTTCGTCAGAAGGATTTGAGAGTTTTGACTTTCGGCAGAGGTTTCGTCATTTAGAGGTCAGGTTTCGGCTTTCGTCATCAAGCAAAAATGGTTTCGTCTAACAACTATAGCTCTTTAATTGTTAAATTAATTATCAGTTATCAAGTCAGAAACCTGGCTATGCTCAATATTGTGATAAAAAGAAAAAAAAAGAAATCACTATTACAATTTTCTTTATATTTATGACAAAAAATTTTTGCTACTCTTTAAGTTATTTCTATCTTGTTAAGATCAAAAATTATCAGCCATTTCTTATTAAATCACTTATTTAACCGGAAAGTATAAAATAATTTGTTAATTAAAGTATTCGAAAGCGATGTATGCACTTCTTATTTGGTTGTTGAAATTCATGTTGATTTATGATTCTTATAACTTGATTTTCTGAAAATTTATATACAAAATATTGATTATAAATTTTAGTCTTATCTGAACACAAAGTTGTATAATGTACTTACAAAGCGCATCTGCTAAATGCTTTTCCATTAATCCGGTCTTTAATTTAAAATGAAAAAAAGAATAACATCAACATGTAAATAATAATATGTCAAATCACTAGAAGTATTCGAATATTCAATGAATTTATTCAGATATTAATTAATTCAATTTTTTAATCAATATCTGAATATTAAAAAAAAAATTAGATTAATAAATATCCAGATGGTTAGTTTTAACTGGATCAGATCATATCTCAAAGGTTCAATTCTTTCAGGAATTGTTTCCACAAAGTGCATCGATTAATGCTGATCTGTGTTCATATTATAAGACTCAAAGAAGGCGCATCTATTAATGCTTTTTTCTTCTCTTGCTCTTGCAAGATATACTTGCTAAGGCCTTTTCACCTTCCGATTCAAGTTTGTTGGAACATGAGTTAGCATAGTGTTCTCAATTCAAAAAATCAATATTAAGTATGCTCGATTTTGATTGGTCAACTTAAATACTGCGCCTCATAAATTTAAAATTCTTCTTCCCGGACTCAATGACCCGGCCGGGTTATGAAAACCAAAAAATTAACTTTATTTGGCCTAAATAAAACAGATATTTAATAAAATATAACATTAAGTTTAAGTTCCTTACAGCTATTTTTTATCCATGAAATAATTTAAGCACAACAATAATACCGCTATATGTTAATGGGTGTGTCCGCTTAACAGAATATACCGCTGCAAATAAGATTACAGAATAGCAGTAAAGGTGGATAATTTAATCAGTCTGGTATAGGAATGCGAATACAAATTTAAAGGAACCGTACCATACTAGTCTGTCATAATTCCCAATCTTCATATTACATATAAATATGGTACGATTTTTAAATTCATACCGTGCACTCCGATCAGGACAAAGTTTGAATAATAATTTTAACGGTTAACCAGGTTAACGAGGTCACCAAATAACTCACTTTTTTACCTGGGTAATAGGTGAGCAAATTTTTTATACGGACTTATTCTCTAGTGCCCCAAAAATATCTACAATCGATAAACCATTTACACGAGAACTGGTCTAAAAAAATGATATTCCAATTAAATTAACTTCAAATTATTAATAATTAATATCAATATTATATCGAAAAGGAGAATTAGGCGATCGTTATATCAAGCACCAAGGATTAATGAATAATAACCAGAATCGGATATGTACAAACAATATCAAACGATTCTGGTTTTCATTATTACAAATCCGAAATATTTCGTCAAAAATAAATTATCATAAAAGTCTGACTGACTCGTGTACCTTATGGGATGTGCCCTCTGACAAATTTTAATTTTACCTGGTATCCAAGTATGATGCTTTATACAATATCATATTGGACAGATAAAATTAAACATATGAATTAAGGAAATATCCTGGGTATACAAGTTAGGTTTTCATGGTAATTTCGCCAGGACGAAATACCTTAATTTACCGCAGCAAAAAATTAGAATTTATGTAATGAATGGCCCAGGGGTGTAATTTCGAATTTGGCCTAAATTAAGTTTAATTCTGGCCATTATTCAAAATATCACACAAACGTTATTTCACGCTTGCATGGTAATATAATAATGTTTTTATGTTATAAAAAATTTCTTTGCAAAAAATCTAGCACATCTTTCTTTCCTCATAGGAAAATTAACTGGTCTTTCATAATAAAAACAATCATCCCATAAAGTAAAAACAATCTTTCACGAAACAATCTTAAAGTCTTTCTATTCTTTTTGATTGCCAAACACATAAACATGTTATTGTTACACGTATATACAATATGGACGCGACGTGATTGTGTAAAGAAGTAAAGAAGATTACACATTCTAAACATTGTTTAAGAACTGACTTTGTGATTGAAAGGATTTTTGTAAAATCTTGAATTCAGCTTTGACTTGATAATCAGTCGCATGAGCATAAAATTTTGGTGATGCTGAGGAATTATGAATTAGAATTGGCTAGGGCAACAAGTGTATAACATTTGCTAAAATTTTATGTGCTACGGATATGTACAAATTAGCAGTGTTGGCCGATGACCTTCAATGACCCATATGACCTTTATGACCAGTCGTAGTTCATTTGGTCATAACGAAGATTAATATGACCTTTTTTAATATAGTAAGAAAAAAAATTTTTATTAGCATTTAACATGACCAATATGACTTATTACCAAAAAGTCATATGATTATATGACCAAGATCATATCAAAAAAATGTTATGACTTAGGTCATCGGTCAACACTACAAATTAGAATGTTACGTACTGTATTTAATTTAAAACACATTGTATATTTTATATATCTTAAAAATAATATGCAAAAAAATCCACGTAATACTTAAAAGCAATCTTCAAAATCTTTATCAAAATACTGAATAGCTCAAGAACATTCTGAAATCCTATATTAATTCGTCGAATTTATCGTTACAGACTTATAAAAAATTGGTATTGTATCCTACAATCTATACTATACAGATCTGCACCATAATTCAAACAACCAATTCTTAGCTACAAAGACCTTAAGAGCCGCGAGCCGATATTATTACCAGATTTTTATCATGCGAATATTAGCCAATAATAATTATTTACATTCTAATGTCAATTACAAGCGAACAAGTGGGGAAACTTATCGCTATAGTCCAAGACTATTATTTCTGTAATTATAATGAACCTCTATTATAAGATATTGGTTAGTGCTCCGAAAGAGTCATTCGAGTTGAATCCGTATTTGTTCGAACAAACTCGGGTTTGAAAATCTCTACTCGTGTATTATTAAAATTCGGTTATCCGGTAATTTATCATAGCTCAATCTCTACCACGAATTTAGGCAAATTTTTATCTATACTGTACTTTTCATGCACATTATACTTTTATCACTTGGGGTCGTTTCGGGTTTTATGTTCTGGGGTCGATTACTCCTTCGGAGCACTAATATTGGTCATGCGATGAAATATTGTTCCGACAGAACAAATTTTATGATATTTATTTATCATCGATGTTATCGTGCAATTATGAACTTGCTTTACAAGTCATTATTGGCTAACTGAGTTTTAATTCGAGATTGTTGTGCTTATGTAGTAGTTCGTGGATCAGTATGGTATAGGTGAGCAGATCTATACGGATCAATTATTATATATAGATCCGCATATAGTACGTATAATTTTGAACAACAAGGAAAAAATCTATGATCATAATAAAAGTTTGCATAATAACTATATATTATTAAGCTAAAATTGGTCATCCTCTAGTTTTAGTTACCAAATCTAGAAAAAAATTTTAGACCTGGTATGTATCGATAACGCGTTTAATCGATCTTCCCTCATTGTTCCCCATTATCTAATTCATTTTAACGCATCTTATTAAACAAAAAATTCATATACTCAGCGATACGTCCTAATCTGGGGATATTGATTAGCATAGTCAAAAACCATTATTACATATTAGCAGCATTTCATAATTAACTTACATGATTGCATCATCCGTGTTAATTTAACGGTGAATCTTAATATAGATTGGTAAATAATTCTATGTATAATACAATTTTCTTATACTTGCAGATTGAATTGATACCAATGATACGTATCAGAGATGAAAAATATGTATTCATGAAGTATTTACTGAAAATGTTATTACGCAGATTAATAGCATATACAGTCAGACACCTAAATGCAACTCATTTGGGACCAAACTTTTGATAGCATGCATTTAGAGAACAAAAAATCAGACCAGAGCTTGAGATGCATTTAGGGAGGCTGCATTTAAGGAGATTTGATTGTACATAATCCAGGTTTCTCATTAAAGTTTCTTGCATAATTCACTATTATTGGTGAAGGTACAAAATTTGGGTATTTTAATTATTTTCCGAATCAAATAAAAAAGGAATTTATCGTTATTATCGTTATATAACGATAACGATAATGTTAAATATTTGTGAACCATTATCATTCTTTGCACAATGAAAAAAAAAAACTAGCCCCTGAAAATCCGGTCAGTAACATATGATGCATGGTTAAATTTCAGATTTTCCGGAATCAATTCATTTCTGTATTTGATACGTATTATCGGGTTTATTATAATTGGCTGGGTTTGTTGGTTAGATTGTGGCACTATCGATTTTATCGATTAATGTTTGCCAAAATCGCGACTTAACCAATGATTTTAGAAGAGTTAGTATTCCTCTATAAAATACAAAAATTTTATTTAATCAAAGAAATCTACTAACAACTTTCTATCATGTTATTTCTGCTGCTGATGGCTATCAGTAAAAATAATAAATATATATACAGTATGTATAATAAATAAAATACAGTATGTATCTCGATATATATTGATAACATTAGGTTATGATTTAATCCTAAATTAAATATGACCCACGAAGCAGGTTAACTTTCATCCATGGCACTTACTACCTAAGAGATAATACGTAGAAGCGGTCTTGGGATGTCTCTAGTAATTTATCTGAAGGCATAAACACATTGATTACGAACCAATTCAGCAATATCTACAGTATAATCTATACCAGTGCAATACCTCATCTATCGGCCCCTTAACCAGCCATAAAGCTTCGTTATATTGAAAGTTAAAAAAAGCAAACCAAGTTTAGAAAATAACGATAATAAAAGTAATTATTATAAACTGTTTTACACTAATTTTAACCTGTGGTAATTATATCTGTTACCTGTTGGCAAACTACGTATAAAATTAGTTTATTCTATCAAAATTAATAAGCATACATTCTGTATACGTACGTAGTCATATACATAACAGATAAAATGTCTCCTGTATAAGCACATCAGTTTATAAGCATTGAACCAACTACTTTTAAATATATAAAAATAATTCTCTATATATATTTATATATACGTATACTGTGTATATAATTTAAAAAAAATTCATTTTTTGATTTGCTGACAAGTATAGTGTTGATTATCGTAAAAAACCAACCAAACTGACATATAAGAAAAGACACTGCAAAATATCAATGTATAATTTTACTACTTTCAGTTAAAGATCAATCAGCCCGCATTAATGCAAGTTGCTGCAAGCATCAACATAGAAGTTTTAATCTAAGTGACGTGTAATCCATAACCACTATCGCTATCGTTATAACTTATCGATATAAATTCATTGTTAAAATTGTCACCACCTATCTGCTATTGATAGTATATACGTGTTATATATATATACGGTAAATAAATGATTAAAAAAACTGTCATTAGGAAAAACTATATACGTATTATATTTATATACAGTAAATGACTAAAAAAACTGTCATTAGGAAAAACTATATTTGGATAATCATACTAATACTATATCAGATACGTATCAAATTTTTGATTATCAAATTTCATACGTAGCATGATAATAACATAACAGACATGTGCATATTTGACGATGATTTTTATATAACAGAAAAAATGCTTAAAGTTCACCCCAACAGAAAAAAAAAAGTTCGACTTACTTTATTCCCAAGGATAGATAATTATTATTACAATGTCTGCTAAAGCAATTAGGGAATATGATGGAAAATTGCTCTTAGTATACTGGCTTCTTCGTTCTCCACAACTATTTGAAGAAAGTCAGTCTTCTACTTCAAAATTTTTACCACCAGCTACAAAAGTCGCTAGTATCACTTTCGACACTTCTATCCTCCAAGACGTTGACATCAGTAACCCTCAGACTGCTTTTGATGACCACGTTCAACAAGTATTTAACATCTTAGAACAGGTACATCCATGGCTGTTGACTGATAAATTGGTTGTAAAACCTGATCAACTTATAAAAAGACGTGGGAAATCAGGTTTATTGTTGTTAAATGCTGATTGGCAACAAGTCAAAGAATGGGTTAAGGAGAGATGTGGCAAAGAAATTCAGGTAAATAATTAATCTTTTCTTTTTGATGATTTAAAAATTTCTTGATCTTAACCTATACCATTATTTTGATTAAATCTTTCCCGTTTAGGTTGATAAAGTAGCTGGTGTTTTAAAAACTTTCCTTGTTGAACCTTTCGTTCCTCACCCTTCACATACCGAATATTATATAAACATCAATTCTGTTCGGGATGGTGATTATATATTATTTACCCATGAAGGTGGCATCGAAGTCGGTGATGTTGATGCTAAAGCTTTAAAACTTTTAATTGAAGTTAATAAACCTTTACCTACATGTCAAGAAATAAAAGATACTTTGTTAATTAATGTTCCTGATTCAAAAAAAGATGTTTTAGTCGATTTCATTTCTCGTTTATATGCTGTATACGTTGATTTACATTTTACATACCTCGAAATCAATCCATTGGTTGTGTTAGATCCTGTTCCAGGAGAGGATGTACCAAAAATTTATTACTTGGATTTAGCTGCTAAATTAGATCAAACTGCTGAATTTGAGGCAGGTCCAAAGTGGGCTATTGCTCGTGCTCCAAAAAGTGTTGGTATTCCTGATATTTATGGTACTACAAAGTCTGCAAAATCTCAAATTGATCAAGGTCCTCCTATGGAATTTCCGGCTCCTTTCGGTCGTGAATCAACGAAAGAAGAAGCTTATATACAAGAATTAGATTCTAAAACTGGTGCTTCTTTGAAATTAACTATTTTAAATAAAGAAGGAAGAATATGGACTATGGTTGCTGGTGGTGGTGCATCAGTTGTATATAGGTAAAATATTTATGTTACTATTTACTTTAACAAATATATATTCACATTTAATGATAAGTAAATAATAATAATAAGAATAATAACATGTATATTTATTTAATATATTTTTTTTTTTTAGTGATGCTATTGCCGCTTTAGGATTCGCCAACGAGCTCGCTAACTATGGTGAATATTCAGGTGCTCCTACTGAAACACAAACCTATGAATACGCAAAGACAATACTTGATTTAATGACTCGTCAATCTGTTCCGGATCCTAAAGGAAAAGTCCTTATTATTGGTGGTGGTATTGCAAATTTCACGAATGTCGCTGTCACTTTCAAAGGATTAATTCGTGCATTACAAGAGTTTAAAAAGCCATTGATCACACATAATGTAAAAATATTTGTTAGGCGTGGTGGCCCTAATTATCAAGAAGGATTAAGGGCTATGAGACAATTAGGTGATGACATTGGTGTTGAAATTAATGTGTTTGGACCCGAAACTCATATCACTGAGATTGTACCATTAGCTTTATTGGGACATGGCTCTGGACTTGATAACGACTTTAATGATAAGGTCGATAAAACTAGTAATTATTTCAATGATAGATTACCTGAAACATCATATACTACTTCAAAGAAATCTACAGAAGTAAATTCTGATGCTACAGTAAAATCTAAAGAAAATAATTCTCGCCCTTCAACTCCGATACCTGATCCACGTGAACGAATGGCTTACTTTGAGAATCCTACTACTCAAGAACGTCCTTGGTATATTTCTTTCACCAAAGAAACTCGTGCTTTTGTATATGGAATGCAGGCTCGCGCTGTTCAAGGCATGTTAGACTTTGACTATATGTGCAAACGGGAGGTCCCTTCAGTTGCTGCCATGATTTATCCTTTTGGTGGAAGCCACTTACAAAAATTTTATTGGGGTACAAAGGAAACACTTCTTAACGTCTTCAGCAATCTCGAGGAAGCAATAACAAAATTTCCAGAAGTTGATACTATCGTAAATTTTGCTTCGTCTCGCTCAGTTTACGATTCAACTTCTGAATTCTTTAAATATAGTAATCAAATAAAAACCATTGCGATTATTGCTGAAGGTGTTCCTGAACGTTACGCACGAAAAATACTTCATGAGGCTAAAGAGAAGAATGTATTAATAATTGGTCCCGCAACTGTTGGCGGTATTAAACCTGGATGTTTTAAGATTGGAAATACAGGAGGCATGATGGATAACATAATTTCTTCCAAATTGTATCGTCCGGGTTCAGTAGCTTATGTTTCAAAATCCGGTGGAATGTCCAATGAATTGAATAATATTATATCTAGGACTACTAATGGTGTATATGATGGTGTGGCTATAGGTGGTGATAGATACCCTGGTTCCACCTTTATTGATCATTTATTACGTTTTGAAAATGATCCAAATTGTAAGATATTGATCTTGTTAGGTGAGGTTGGAGGTGTGGAAGAATATCGAGTGTGTGAAGCTATTAAAGATGGACGTATCAAAAAACCATTAATAGCATGGTGTATTGGAACTTGTGCCATGATGTTTGCAACAGAAGTTCAATTTGGACATGCTGGTGCTATGGCCCAATCAGATTTAGAAACTGCAAACGCAAAAAACAGTGCATTAAGAAACGCTGGTGCTGTCGTTCCAGAGACTTTTGAAAAATTACCTTTAGCATTACATGAAGTTTATCAAAAACTTGTATCTGAAGGTGTCATTATACCTGCACCGGAACCAGAAGTTCCAAAGGTACCTATTGATTATTCTTGGGCACAGGAACTTGGATTGGTTCGTAAACCTGCAAGTTTCATGTCTACCATATGTGATGATCGTGGTCAAGAATTGTTGTATGCTGGAATGAGAATATCTGATGTGTTTAAAGAAAATATTGGAATCGGTGGTGTTTTAAGTTTACTTTGGTTTAAACGACGACTTCCTGACTATGCATGTCGATTTATCGAAATGATACTCATGTTGACAGCCGATCATGGACCTGCTGTATCTGGGTAAGCAATATTCAGCAACAATTTTTATTGATATTTTTGGGTTTTTTTTAATATTTAATTTCGTATCTTATTTGTTTTTTAGTGCTCACAATACAATTGTTACTGCTCGTGCCGGAAAGGATCTTATATCAAGTTTGTGTTCTGGACTTTTAACAATAGTAAGTTTTTATTAAACTTTGTGGCATTGGCTACATTTTCTAAAAAAAAAAAACTCTTTTTTTAATTACAGGGAGATCGATTTGGAGGTGCACTTGATGGTGCCGCAGAGATGTTTACCAGTGCTTATGATAAGAGTTTAACTCCTCGCGAATTTGTTAATTCAATGCGAAGACAAAATAAACTGTGAGTTAAATGCAATTCTTGCAATTTAAAACCGAACAATTTCATATTGACTAACAACACAAACAATTTTTAATTTAGTATTCTCGGTATAGGACATAAAGTCAAATCACGCAATAACCCAGACTTTCGTGTCGAAATAATAAAGGATTTTGCCAAAAAAAATTTTCCATCTAACAAGTTATTGGATTATGCTTTAGCCGTTGAAGAAATAACAACAGCGAAAAAAGATTCACTAATTCTTAATCTTGATGGTGCCATCGCAGTTTGTTTCGTTGATATGTTACGTGAATCAGGTGCTTTTAGTAGGGAAGAAGCTGAAGAATATATTAAAATTGGTACCTTAAACGGATTATTTGTATTAGGTAGAAGCATAGGCTTCACAGGTAAGAAGCTTATAATAAAATTATAAATTAAAAGACAAGTATGTAACTATTATCTAAAAATTGTTTAAATATTTTATCACATAGGTCATTATCTTGATCAACGTCGACTTAAACAAGGGCTTTATCGACATCCATGGGATGATATTTCTTATTTGGTGCCAGGTGTGGAAACTGGTCGTACATTTGTTAGTCAAGACAAAGTTATAGAAAAGGGTGTATGAAGTACTAGCGAAAAGTGATAATTATAAAACCATCTTGGATAGCCTTAAGGACATTATCTAATTTGTTTATTAATTTTTTAAGTTATTTAAATATCTTTCATAACTTTACAAAATGATACAGTTTCAAAAATAAATTGAACATTTATTCTTTTAAACATTTAAACTTCTTAAACATCTGAAAAAATACTCTTTACAATCATTTCAACTGTTGGTTGAATTCCCTTGAGTTCCACCAACCTTTGAAAATTGTATGGTATTTGGTCAATCACCCGTTTTTCATCATTTGATTTCCCTGCATAATTTTTCTTTTTTTAGATTTTTTTTTTTACATAATTGTTATGAAGTTAAAAAATTTGTTTAAACTCACAATGATCAGGCATTCGAGCTAATAAACTAACATCTGGATGCACGTGACCAGAAGTTAAATTTAAACGCCACGTGAAGATCAATTCTGGACTAATCCGACTGAAAATTGAAAGTGTTAATTTTATTTATTTACTAACGCTAAGCAGATCAATGTTTCATAATTCAAACCTATCATTGGGATCTGAGAATTTCAGCAAATAATTAGCGCAAACATCAACAGCTAGGAATGAAAATTTTTGCTTCATTGCATTAAAAAATAATTCGCGTTGACTATTCAATCGAGCGTATTCGATGAATCCTTTGAAAAATGTTAATAAGTTTGCTTCTTTCTCCATACTAAATATATTATACAAATTAATTATTTTATTAAATAAAAATATTTAAATGTTAATTGCTGATTGTATTTACTTTTCAACGAAATGACCAATTTCGCGTCTAATGTATGAATCAATTTTAATCTTTAAGTTTTGGATACAAAGTTCAGATTCAATCACATCGAACTCAAGGTTAAAGCCTAGACCACGGGAATTTCCAGCCATAATGTAATGTCTAATATGTTCTAGAAAAAAATTATTAAGTAAAATATTTGAGATTAAATACAAATTAACTGTATATCTGTATTATACCTCCGGTAGATAATATCTTTACATGATTAGTAACGCGAGTAAAATGAACTTTGGTATACGATCTTAACTGTGTTATTTGGTTAATAGTTTGATCGATATCGTTATCAACTCTTTTATAAGATTCAGTTGATAAAAGAGATTGATCATTGATATTGATCAGACGCTGAACAATCTCGCTGTCAACGACCTCATCGCCTATGCCATCGGCACCCTGATCCATACCGTTGAGCTTTTTTGCAGTAGTGTTTGTTGAAGTATTGTTTACTAGAGTAGTGTTTGCAGTAGTATTTGCAGTAGAGTTTGCCGGCGTAAAGTTTGCTGGAGTAGTACTCGTTGCTAATTTGCGAGGTCGTCTAAAGCCAGGTAGTTTTTTAAATTGATTATTAACAAATTCGTAAATTAAAAATCACGTGATGCATATAAATTACTACCTGGCTTTAGACGATCCCTAATTTGCGAAGTTTTTAATTGTCCGAAGTGTAGCTGAGGACACTGACATCAGGTTACACGATAGACGTCTGTCACGGCGCGTCATTAACCAATACAATTTCATCCACTGTTAACTTAATACGCGACATAATTATGTACTACACTTGTACTACGCAGACCCGGTTTTTATTACTGAACTTCCAATATCCTACGCAGTATCCTACGCACCTTTTGTGCACCACCGTTGGCCGATGTTTGTTCAGGATACCTGCCTTGATGACACGTATTTTTCCTGTGTCTACATTGTCACCTACTCCATGACGAATGTTGACCAGATATTGCGTTTTAGCAGCCTACGCACCGATTGTGCACCACCGTGAATTCATGTTCGCGACCCCTTTCGGCCGATGTCTGGCAGCAATAGTTCAGGATACCTGCCTTGATGACACATATTGTTCCTGTGTCTTTGTCACCTACTCTATGGCGTTTGCTGACCAGTTGCTATGGAAACAAAGTTCCTAGCTATATATTATTGGACACGTTAACAGTTAAACGCAGGCTGGCTAATTAATTAATTATCCTTCAACGTTACTAGATCAACAAATGGATTTATATCGACAAATCAACAACTACTTTGACACTGTTAAATACTCCGAATGGAGTATCCTAGGTTGCTTGCATTCGATACAGAACCCTATGTTCACGTCTGACAGCGCGGATGAAATCGCGACCATTATAAAAAATAGAATTGGAACACGTCGTATATCAAATTCATTATTAGCGAGTGCAAGAAGTAAACTAGAATGTCTCGAGTCCAAATTTGAGTCCACTTGCGCAAATTCCGAAGTCCGATAGTATTTCAATAAATTGGATCTTTCTCATGCAAGTGTAAGTGTTAAAAGCATTAGTCACTCTGGATTAATGTCTAACTTATAGCCATACAAATTAGGAAATGTATACAACACGGGCGATGACAAATATTGTCAAAGATAAAACTGTATTAAGCGATGCTCATACTCAATACTTAGCCAACGTAAGTTTATTTCGGTGCACATACTGTAACTGATTACCGAATGCTTATTATTTTACTTACCAATCTTTTGAAAGTCGTATGCTGGAAATAGCAAAAAACGACAACAGCCTGAAAATACACATTACGACAGTGTTGGCCCATGACAAGGTCATAACAGGTCATATTACTAAGTTCAATTAGTGAGGTCATATGACCTCACTAATTGAACTTAGTAATATGACCTGTTATGACCTTGTCATGGGCCAACACTGCATTACGATGAATCCAAACAAAGGAGAATTGCTGATAACGATACTGGTGACAAATCAGAGACAGATCCAAATGATGAGGTGGATTTTGATGACAACAAAGTATTCAGTATGGATTCAAACATCGTATTAACAGATAGCGATGCCGACGATCATAAGGTATATGGCAATACTTAACACTATAGGTCACCCATCGCATGTTCATCTTTTTCATCTCCAATTCTACGAAAATCATATCTAACATTGTAAGTTCCATCGGTATTACCCATTATATGTTCATCCATCAGCTTCACCACCATATATTATCCTTTTCAGCTCTAATACACAAATTACCATTTTAGGTTCTATCAACGTTATTATCATATGTTCATCCTTTTTAATTCTACTTCCATGAACTAACGATATCCATTATTATAGATTCTATCAGCATCACTCATCATATGTTCGGCTCCAATTCCATCAAAATCATATCCAACATTATGGGTTCTCATCGTATGTTCATCCATTTAGCTCTAATTCCATCAATATTACAGGTTCCATTGGCGTCACCTATCATATGTTCATCGTTTTCTACTCCAATCCCATATGTTCCATCAGCATCACTACCACATGTTCATCCTTCTAAACTACGATTCCAATGAATTTAACATTATCCAACATTATAGGTTCCATCAGTATTACCCACTACACGTTCATCCATTTTAGCTCCAATTCCATCACCATATATTTATCCTTTCAGCTCCAATTTCGTAGGTTTCATTATCGCATCATACTCAATACTATGTTCCCATCGTATGTTCATTCTTTTCTACTCAAATTTTATGAACTAACTATATCCAACATTATAGATTCCTCTCTTTCAAGCTCCAATTCCATAGGTTTTGTTGTCGTCACCCACCATCATACCCAATTCTATATGTTCTCATTCTTTTCTACTCCAATTCTATGAAACTAATTATATCCAACATTATAGGTTCCATCAACGTTATGCCAATTTCATGAACTAACGATATCCAACATTATTTATAGGTTTCATTAGCATCGCCTATCTAGATAACAACATCTAGCATTATATGTTCCATTAGTATCTTTCTATATGTTCATCCCTTTCAGCTCTAATTCCATAGGCTTCATTATCGTCACCACCACCATACCCAATTCTATATGTTCCCATTCTTTTCTACTCCAACTCTAACTATATCCAACATTATTTATAAGTTCCGTTAGTGTCACCCATCATACAACGGCTAATAGATAACACCATCCAAGATTATACGTTTCATTAGTATCACCCACTATTTGTTCATCTCTTCAGCTCCAATTCCATAGGTTTCATCATTGTTACCTACTATATATTCATCCTTTTTCAGCTCCAATTCAATGAAGATCATATCCAACGCTATATATTATTCATCCTTTTCTACTCCAATTCCAAAGATATCCAAAATTATAGGCTCAATCCGCGTTATCATCATACGTTCATTTTTTTCAACTCCAATTCCGCGAAACTAACGATTCAATATTGTAGGTTTCATTAGTGTCACCCATCGTATTTCCGTGAAGATAATAATATCCAACATTATATCCATCAACGTCACCTATCTTATGTTTACCCTTTTCAGTTCCAATTCCGGAAGATAACAATATCAAACCTTATATGTTCACCAGGGCGACCCTCGAATGTGCTGCCGTAGTAATACAGAGATTGTTATATAACAAAGTGACTGTACTTTTGGAATCGTTCTGGCGAACTCATGTTTCATTAGCGTGAATACTTTATGTTCATCGTTTTCTATGGTGCAAAATAAAATTAAAATAAATTAAAAAATAAAAAAATTATACTATAATTTAAAAAATAATACTGTAGAAATATGTTAAATGATAATAAGTAAATTAAAAAAATAACGACAAAATTTTTTTATTATAATATTTTATAGAATAAATTATATAGTTATAAAAAACTAAATTTTGGTTAGTTAAAAATTATAAATAAATATTTTTACTATATATAGTTTTATTATAAAATTCTAAATTATCAATTTTTTTTTTTTTTTATGTAAATAATTTATTAAATATATAAATAAAATAAGCCTATGGTGTTTATAGTATAGTGTTAAATTTTTGGCTAAAATTTAGAGTTAGGATACAGTTATAAATATTATTATTAGTATAACTAACTCTAATTACTTAGTATATAGATTTTTATCATATAGTATTCTATAGTATTTATTATCAATAGTGTATAATAATAGTATTAAAAATTTTTTAATATATATATGTACATAATTTTTTTTTTTTCTTCTCCTTTCGCTTTTCCTGAAGGTCCATAGATACCTTTAGGAATGTCACTTTTTCTTAAAGGCCAGTGTTATCATTGTTTTGTAAAGATCTACGGATAGCAGTGTGGCCACTAATTTATTACTGTACTCGTGAGCTATCACATGCTCCATTAGGTCCGTTGCTTTGATGTTCCGGGTTGGTGTAAAATTCTATTACTGATATTTGAAGTTTTCTAACTTTATATGATCCACAAGCCGGATTGTTCTTCCTTCGTTAAGCTGGGTATTTATCAATTTTAATATTATTTGTTGATAGATTACATCTTATCTGGCCATTCCTAACCTCATGGCTATGCTAGTGACTATATAGTGTAGATCTAGACTCAAATCTCTGAAGATCTTTCAATCATGGTCCTAGCTGAGCCTTGACCCCCAGTTGGATTCGAACCCACAACCTTGTAATTGTAACCTGGAAATGCTAACTACTGCATTATTAACCCACAGGTCTGTATATAATTTAATATATAATTTAATTTAAATTTTAGTAATCCAGATTTCCAGTTTCTAGTAATTAAATTTAAGTATAGATGTAATAGTTAAATTTAAGAGTTACTAAATGAGAAGGAAAAAAAAACAGCAGAGATGGTTAAAGAAGAAGAAAATATTTCTTGCTCTATTTGGGCACTAAAAAAGAACCAGATACAGGACAAAGCTCAATTAAACAGGAGAGAAAAAACTGACAAAGATAAGGATGAGCTTGAAGGCTTCTTTATAATCTGAGATCTACTGCACTCAACAAATACCACAAGAGTAATTAGATGTATGAAGTATCATAGAGCTACAGAAATTCTTGAGTGGTATAATCAAGAAAGTTCAGAGTAGCATATATAAAAGTTTTATTTACAAATGAGAAAAAAAAATATCTGCTACACAGAGTATGGGCATTACTTTTTGAAGAAAAAAAAACAAGTAGACTTACTACAAAAAGGTTTGATAAAGAAGAACTAGAAAGTAGAAAAGAGTTTAGACTAGTTTTGAGAAATGTTTCTTTTTCGGCATGTGAATCAGCACTACTTAGACAGCTTAGAAAAGTTAAAAGCAAAAATGGTTTGCATTCCAAATAATAGCAATGGCAATCAAAAGAGCTTTGCTTTCATATTCTTTGCAACATTAGAAGACTTACAAGTAGCTAAAGCATTAGTATCTTATTATTTTGATAATAGAATGAAATAGGATAGTGAAAAAGGTTACAAAACTTTTAAAAGATTATACAATAAGAAAAATCAAAATAATTATAGTATAAAGAAAAAAGTACCGATAGTGAGAGTTTTTATTTAGAACAACAAAAAAGATATATCAATCAAAGACTCAAACAAAAAGACTAAAAATCTCTTCTAATAAGTATAGATACAATTACAAAGATAGTAGTAGCTCCAGGTCATGAAGTAAACCACTTAGTAGAGTAGAAAATATTTATTAAAACAAATAAGAAAGTGTGGAGAATTTAGTTGCAACTAGCTCAAACAAAAAAGAGTTAGGAAAAAGAAAAGAAAAACAAGCCAAAACAAAGGCAGAAGAGATAGAGGTAGAAAAAATTTTAACAGAAATGCAAGAAAAATTTAAAACAATTAAATGTTTGCTTGCAATACACTTCTAAAATTCATCACAAGTAAACTAAAAAATCTGGGCAAGGCAAAAAACCTTATAACTGCTTTACATTTGTCTAGTGCAAGTAAAATTAGTAAGAAAAGAGATAAGTACAATTGCTTTGAGTTATTTAGATTAGAGTATCAGAATATCAATAGGATAAAATTAAATGAACAAAAGTTGCTAGCATTAGCAGATTTGGGTAAAAAAGAGAATTTAGATATAATTAGTATTGCAGAAACTAATATTGTTATAATGCTATGGCCTTCTTGGTCACCATGTAGCAAGGTAACAAGATTACCTGATGCAGGGACCCTGCTATTGGGGTGTACATGGGTGGAAGTGGAATATGTACTACTTCTACTAGCAGGAGACAAATAGTCTGATATAGAGACAGTATATGGGAACTTCCACAGCAAAAGGTGGCAATGAGCTAAAAAAAATTTTTTTTAAAAAAATGCAATTTCTTGAAAAATTAGAGTAATAGGCATATAATTTTTACAAAATTACAAAATAAAAATTTTTGGCCCATTGCCACTTTTTGCTATGGAGGTCCCCATATAAGTTAATACTTTATTTATTATAAGTCAAGAAGGATAACCTTATTTGCTAGGATTACTCTAGAGGGAGTATATCATTTTATACAAGAACAAGAAGTGTAAGAAGGTAGTAGGGCTAAATACTATGAGAGGGTAGGGAACTTTAACTAATTCTGTTAACTCTAACTTGAGTAAAAGAGGCAAAGACTTCCTTTTTATAACTTTTTCACATATAAGAAATGTAATGATATAACTATTAAACCATATAGAGGTACTAAGAGATACTAAGAGATACTTATGCAGAGGTACTAAGAGGTACCTGTATGGAGGTACTGAGAGATACTCGTGTGAAAGTACTGAGAGATACTCGTATGAAGTATTGAGAGGTACTTGTATAGAGGTACTAAGAGGTACTTGTGTGAAAGTACTAAGAGATACTTGTGTAAAGGTACTTGTGCAGAGATACTTGGAGGCACTTGTGTAGTATTACTGTGCTGTACATAACTAGTCAATAGAATCTTCTCTATAACAAATATAATATCTATAATACTTAACTAATAAATATAATAACTAATATTAAATAAATATAACTAATATTAAATATATATAATCTCACCAAAAAGAAAGTATAAATGCCCACAACTCTTCCTGTCGATTACCTGAACCAAATTTTCTGCTAATGAAAAACAAGTTTTTGTTGGAGAGTTGTGGT